GGAGCCTCATGCAACTCTGGGACTTCTGGGCTGAGATTTACATCCAGGAACTCTATTTACACAATGTATGAAAGTATGAGCTAATGGTCTGAACACAAGTGTGGGAGCTAAGCACTCCTGTCTTCTCAGCTTTGACATAATGCCCTTTTGTCATGTCAGGCAAGACACTTACCTGCTCTCCATCATTTTCCACATCTGTAAAAGGGTGACCCAACAACTCAACGAATGATACTTATTAAGGGTGGGCAGTAACATACACCTCAAATCAAAATAGAAAAAGCAGTGTGGGAAGTGGACACGCTGTCTTGATGGAAGGCCTCTGCTGTGTTGGGGAGCCCTGTTTTTCAGATCTTTACTCTTGCAAGAGGGCCCATTGATTTCAGTGGGTGAATATGGACAATTCCCATCTGCAGGAGCTTGCAGAATTGAGTTCTTGGTGTCCTTCATGGTATGCCCCTTCCATGTATAAATGCTCCTTACTGTCCTCCACCAAAACAGGATTCTTCCAGCAGGTTTGTCAAATGGTGAGTCACAATTAAGTTTGTAAGGAAGCAGATACCATCTTGCAAAAGAAATGTGGCTAAATTCCCCCCTCCCCTTTTGTATTTCAGCTTATGCCAGGAGGTTTGGGAAGAAAGTCAAAATGGTAAGAACAATTCTATATTTTCTTGCTTTCCCGCTCTAGTTGTCATCTAATAAATTGTAAAATTCACCTCCTCATCACACAGCTGGTTAACTCATTGTTAGATACTTATTTCGGTGCTTCTCTGGCTTGCTTGTGTTCCTAGCTTTTAGAAAACTGTATTATTCTAATTGTACTTCTTGTGTTTCATTTGGGACAGGAAGGTTTAAATAAAGGTCAGTCCAATCCCCTCACTCATCAAGAAGGTGCTGCTGAGTTGACGAAGGATCTCCTGGAAATAAAACTTCTGAATGGGAAGAACTTCAGGAAGTCAGCACCACAATTTCCTAAGAAATCCAAGAAGAGAGGTAGGATTTCCAACAGTATGCTGCTTGCCTTGGTGCTGGGTCACCTTCATCTCTGAGACATTGCAAGTTTATTGTAACTCGGTGCTTGTGGAAAGTGCTAAATTAACCACACTAGAGACTGGACACTTTGCCACAGAACAGTAGAACATAGGCAGAAGCATCCCCCCATGCATTCTCATTAATGGACTTCCAACCTGGCTTCAGTAAGTGAATAGATAGTTCCCTCTCTGTGGCCATCCCTTTTTTGGACTCACTGCAGAAACTGCCAAAATTTAGTGACCTCTTCTGTGATGTGGATATCTGTCACCTAGAAATTGAACAGAAACCACCACATCTATTTAACATTGAAGTCACTGAACAGTCAGCAGATAGTGGACTTCGGTTTCCTGGGTCATATTTGAACTTGTGTCCCAGAGGTGAAAGGATTTGTACCGTCCCCTGATCCATCCATTTTATATTAAGATGGTTAGGTTCCAGTGGATAAGGCATTAGCTTGGCACTCAGAGACTACGTCTACACTGGCATGAATTTCCGGAAATGCTTAAAACGGAACAGTTTTCATTATAAGTATTTCCGGAAAAAGAGCGTCTACATTGGCAGGCTGCTTTTCCGGAAAAGCCCTTCTTCTGGATAAGCATCTGTGGCCAATGTAGACGCACTTTTCCGGAAAAGAGCCCCGATCGTCATTTTTGCAATCCAGGCTTTTTTCCAGAAAAGACCACTAGGCTGTCTACACTGGCCCTTTTCTGGAACAGTGTTCCAGAATAAGGACTTATGCCCGAGCGAGAGCAGAATAATTTTTCCGGAATAGTGGCAGGTTTTCTACAGTAGAGCATCGTTGCTTTTCTGGAAATTCAAGGGCCAGTGTAGACAGCTCGCAGCTTATTCCGGAAAATCAACTGATTTTCCAGAAAAAGTGGCTCAGTGTAGACACAGCCCTAGACTTTAAGGCCAGAAGGGACTAAGGATGTCAACATGTAGTCGAGTACCTAATTAACCAGTAAGCCTACTCTGAATCAGAGGCAGCAAAGATGGGGGGGTGGGAATGGGAGCCAGTGCCGTGTAACTGCCTGACCCCTCCCACCAATGCTGCTGCCTCTGATAGAGAGGCAGCAGTGCGGAGAGTGAGGGGAGCAGGGAGGAGCCAGTACACAGGGGCTTTCAGGCCAGCTCCCTGCACATATTGGCTCACGTAAGCCACTTGTCTCACTCCCCATTGGCTCTCCTCATGTGCCAGCTCCACGGAGCCACCTGCCCCTCCCTGCGATGCTGACCTCAATGGGCTCCATTAATGAACTCAACAGCAGTAGAGTCAGGCCAGAGCTTGAGTGCTTGAAAAAATAATCATGCCTGTTTCCTACAAAGCATGCTGCTAATTAGGGGCAAACTGAATGACTTCATACCTGCATGTGGGTAATTTCACTAGTCTGTTTCATCTCTGTTACTCATAGGCTGGGCCTGGAACTGGCCCACGCCCAAACTAAAGGTCACCTAGAGAAGTTATTCCAGCTAAAGTTGCAGACTCTGTAGAATTGGGTAAGGAACCAACCAGATTGCCCTAAAAACAGGTTCTGTGATGCTGACAGATGCACGGTGATTTGCACTCCCTGCCATACAATCATAGGGTTGGAAGAGACCTCACAAGGTCATTGAGTCCAACCCCTGCTGAAAGCTGGACCACTCCCAACTTAATCTTCCCAGCCAGGGCTTTGTCAAGCCAGGACCTAAAAACCTCTAGGGATGGAGATTCTATCGCCTCCCTAGATAACCCATTTTAGTACTTCACCACCCTCCTAGTGAAATAGTTTTTCCTAATAGCTAACCTAGACTTCTCCCACTGAAATTTAAGACCATTGCTCCTCATTCTGTCTCATCTGTCACTACTGAGAACAGGCTCTCTCTATCCTTTTTGGAACCTCTCTTCAGGTAGTTAAAGGTTCCTATCAAATCTCTCATCATTCTTCTTTTCTGTAAACTAAATAACCCCAACTCCCTCGGCCTCTCCTCGTAAGTCACGTGCTCCAGCCCCCTAATCATCTTTATTGCCTGCCACTGAACTTTCTCCAATGAGTCCACTTCCTTTGTGTAATGGGAAGCCCAGAATTAGAACAGTTCTCCAGATGTGGCTTCCCCCGTGCTGAATAAAGGGAAACAATCGCTTTCCTAGATCTGCTGGCAATGTTACTAATAATATACACCCCAATATGCTGTTGGCCTTCTTGGTTACAAAGGCACTCTGTTGATTCCTATCCAGCTTCTCATCCACTGTAATCCCCAGGGCCTTTACTGCAGAACTGCTGCTTAGCCAATTGGTCCCCAGCCTGCAGCAGTGCTTGGAATTCTTCCATCTAAAATGCAGGACTCTCAAGTGCCACGAATCTTATTAAGTAAAGGTTGTTTTACGTACCCTTCCAAGAATTAGATGCTCTGGAAGGCTTTGGATATTTTCTGATGGTTTAAACCTTAAAAGTCTGGCCTCATCTTGGAAATTATTAGTGGTCCTTTTGTCCATGAGAACTTAGAGTTATGTTAAGTCTCTCTAATAAATTCTATCGAGTTGCAAAGGGTTGGTGAGTTTTAAAAATTCAGTGTATTTATTCAAGTAACATGGAGTAAGGAGTGCAATTAGATAACATGCAATTATGTAGGGTTTGGTGGTTTTTTTGTTGCTTTAAAGTTATTTCAAAGGAGAATGCACACGGTAAAATACGTTGCAATGTACTTTAATTATGTATTTTGTTCAATTTCAGCCTGCTTTTGGAAATACTGTGTTCAGAGCAAGTAGTTTTTAGCCTTTCAATCAACGAACCATTTTGGTAACTAAGGAATTTGACTCTGACAAAGAAATTTTCAAAATCTGAAGCCTTTTCAACACAAACGATTAAACAGCAAGTAATAAAATAACTATTGGACCATATTTGCCTTGCGTATAATATGTATTTAAAGGAGCAATGTAAATATTTGTATTTAAAATAATATAATAAAATAATTTTTGTATAAGCAAAATTGTAGAAAAAGATTTCTTACCTTAACAAACACTGTAGGTATCTTGGGGGAAAATACTAGACCCTTTGCTCTGCTTTTTGAAAGAAATAGCAAGATAGAATTTATTTCTGCTCTTATGGTAGTTGAAGTTTCACATCCTTCCTTAAAGCATGTCCCCAAATCTGCAGCCCGAGTTATACAATCAATCTGACTGAAATCAATGATGAACATTATTTCCCTTTATTAATACAAGCAGGAGGTGGCTCAGGGGATCTCTATGAATGAGGATCCTCTCGTGGAGTTGGAGTATCAAAGAACCCCCCCCAACGCAGTTCCTTCAGAGTAGTGTGTGGGGCTTCCCTTGTGAAAAGCACTGCAGGGCTACCTTGTTCCCAAATCAGGCAGATCCTGGTGAGAGAATGTATGGGAGACTAGACAAGACCATCCCCATGGAAACCCTGTGCCTGCACATTGGCTCTGGCAGACTTTCTGTGCTTCCAGGGACTCCCACCATCTGCATTGTTCTCCAAACTGCTCAGGGCTGTAATATTGGTTTTTTCCCCCTGCGTGGGAGCCCCACACAGATGCTCCATGAGGTCTGGAGATGGAGAAATGTGGCAAAGAAGAGATTGATCTGGGCTTCTAGATCTAGGAAGTGATCCAATAGGACTTTGTGTGTGACTAAATGTTGTAAGTCAGGCACCATGAGCCTGATTTTCAAATACGTTGAGAATCCACAATTCTGTTTGCAGTCAAGGGGAATTGTAGGTGCTCAACACCTCTGAAAATCAAGACGTCCAAGACTTTAACAGGGTTCAAAAAGAACCAGATAAGTTCATGGAGGATAGGTCTTTCAATAGCTATTAGCCAGGATGGGCAGGGATGGTTTCTCTGTCAAAAGCTGGGAATGGGCAACAGAGGATGGATCACTTGATGATTACCTATTCTGTTCACTCCCTCTGGGGCATCTGGCATTGGCCCCTGTCGGCAGACAGGACACTGGGCTAGAGGGACCTTTGGTCTGACCCAGTATGGCCATTCTTATGTTCTTAAGCTGTATGAAATTTTGTTTTAGATGAGTGTTTCCTTTTTCCATCAGTCTTCTAGCAAGTGACATTAGCACAGCTTTTTATTTAAGAAGCAAAACCCGCTACTATACAGCGACACTGCAAAAACACCCTTATGGCAGTGAGTCTCAAAGGCCTCGCCAATTGCCTCACGTTTGGAAGGCTCAAACGCTATGGAGCTAAAAATAGCAAAGTAGCTGTGCCCACTCTAGCTGCAATTGGAGCTCAGACCTTCCCACATCATCAGGTTTGAGAGCCCAAGATCCAGCCAGACCTCAATGTCTACACTGCTACTTTCAGGCCATAGCACGAGTCCAAAACAGTTGAATTAAGCCTGGTCAACAGTAAAGCCTCGAGTCTTGAAATTGGGTCTGTGTATGCAGCTCCTGGCAGCTGTTAGGGTCTGGTTGCAGGACAGGGCCTAAAATGTTCTTCTAGTTCTTAAAGACAAATCCAGGTTTAGTTATTTTTGACTTTCTCTCTCAAAATCCACGCTAGTGATAGACCGCACATAGTCAGGGAACTGGAACTGAAATAAACACAGGATATCATTCAATGTACTTATTAATTTGTGTATTTTCTGCTCAAATTTGTAAGGCATATGAGAAGATTATATAGAATCTATATGTGTTGGAAAATACAAAGCAGCCGTTAGTAACATTCGGTGAGTGATTGCTCAGCTATCAACCCCAATATTTGAGCTTTGTACTGTAAAACAGGGTAAGTGTCCATTTTCTCTAAAGACAAAAAAATAACAATTCACATTTAACACTGTTTAAAAATAACTATGATACAAGATATGCATCAGAACCGAGTATTTTTTTTATAATTAAACAGTGCAGAGTACACCTGAAAACTGAAAATCAAGTAAAACATGTAAAAAAAGTAGATGTCTTCTTGATATGGGATAGGTTTTCTATTTTAAAATGTAGAGGTTTTTTACAAGGTTAATGTATTTCATATTTCTCCAGTATACAAAATCTACTGCATCTTTAGACACACATAACCCTATCAAAAATATATTGTGGGAAACCCTCAGAGACAGACTTCCTGGTGACCACAACAATAACACAGCTATAGTAGCTGGGCCAGAGCTCTTGCTCCCAGGCAAGTGAAGAGGCTGTGATTTGCATAGGTTATGCCTGAGGGCTGTGCGAGCAGAAACCAGCCTCTGTGGCTAGAGCCCATTGGACTGCTGATGGTATGTTCTCTCTTCCAGGGGAACTGGGTATTCTCACTGGTACTGATTGTAGAGCACATTCCGAAGTTTTGTCAAGAAGAAAGGGTAACTAGCCCTCCTTCCCACATATTCATTGCTTTCAGATACCAAATAGGAGCGGAGAAGGGGGCCTCAGCTCAATACTAAGGGAGAAAGATTTTCCAGTTCTTCTCCCAGTACATCAAGTAATTTTATTGCATAGTCCACAGGTTAGCGGCAATATATGTTTCTATCCATTTCTAGGACCGGAGGAAGTCCCATGGGTTGTGCAGCTCTTAGAGAGAAGAGGGCTAGACATACACAGGATAGGGACTTGTGCAGGGTATGAAATAGGGCTTTGGTTGAGCTGATCCACAGCTCCTTGATATAGAAAGTTGGTTCCACATCAAAGCAGACCTTTCTTCTGGATAAACAGCCTGCTGTGCAGGCAACAGCCATCCTGCAGTCTTCCAACATTTATGCAACCCGGAAGGTCACAGATATTTTTTTAGGTACATCTTGAGAAAAAAATGTTGCTCTGGCTCTTAGTCCTCTAAATCAAACATCAGTTTTGACAATAACATTGAAATAAACCGAGAAATTAAAGGCAGCAATAATGATGCTAAATGCATAAGCAGGAAATTTTAGTCTCAAAATGCAATATTTTTACCAAGAGTAAAAAGCCGAATTGTAATAATTGCGTGCCCTAGCCCCTTATTGTAATTTTTACAGATGTTTGAATTTTGATCTGATACCTTTAACACAGACTGTGTAATACATATACACAAGCAGACATACATATTATTTAGTGAGCTTAATACAATGCAAGAAAAGAAAAAAGGATTGGCCAGTCATAGTACTTAAAAATATGCTGCATAATGTACTCTGTTTTTATCTTGGTTTGTTCTCATCCAACTCTTTGAAGAAATGTAGACTAGAAACATCTTTTAATTCATCACTTCATTCTCTTTGCAACATCCAGATATGCAAACTCAATTTCTCGATCGGCAGGACAAGTATTTGTGAATTCATCTCTAGCATAAGCATTGTTCAAATATCTCCAGATCCCAGTCATTTCAGGTGGAAACTCAAAATTCCTATATTTTTTTGCCACAACCTTAAGGGAAAAAAAGGGAAAAAGAGATTGCTAGAGGCATGAGCTGTGTAATCAAAGTGTACATAATGCTTCTAAATCCATAGGTTTCTTCCATTCTTCTGTTTTAGTAATCCATTTTGATGTCTTTAATTTTGAAAAAAAGAGGAGAAAAATAATAGACATACAGGGAGTGTGTTAGAGTGGGAATGTCACTTTTAAACAGTTTAAGCTCAAAATGTAGGTTTTGGGGTGAAAATATTTTACAAAAACAAATAGAAGATTTTTAAAGCAGCCTAAGGAGTGTGATTGCCCAATTCCCATTTATTTCTACCTGGATACCCAAACTCCATAGGTGAATTTGCTCTACTTTTCCTCCTCACTAAAAGACTTTCCCTGGTCTGGTAAAAGTGCAATGCCTATACCTCTGGATGCTGCTGACTGACTCAGTCTGCATGGGCGTAAACATCGAGAGGAGAGGACCCTATGAAGAAAGTCCATTGCCTATGAAAAGTACTGAAGAGCTCACATTTGGCTCCAAATTTAGGAAGGAGTGAAAAATGTTTAGAATCAGTCCATATCTTGCCACTGGGTGGGATGCAGTTTCCATCTCAGAGAAGCGGGCTGACTTAGGAAGGCATGTAAAACCAAAATGGCATTTTGTGTGTAAGACTAATCTGTTGTGTTATGGATTTCATTTTGTTTTATGAAGATATGTGTAAGCTAATGGGGAAACTTGGGGGATCAGCACTGGTCCTGGGCCTAGGGCCACCGGGCCTCAGTGTTGGCATAGCCCAAGAAGAGGTATTAGACACACAGTCTGTACCCTAGGAGTGTGTCAGAGAGGTGGATGCTGCTCCAACCCAGTAGTCTGGGAAGCAGTTGGGATCTAGCAGTGGAGTCCAATAAAGCAGCTTGAGCTGTAGTGCACACAAGGCATCAGCAAGAGGTGGGGGGCGGAGGAGGACTGCTCTCATAACTTTTAGCCCAAAGGTGACAGTACTCACTTGGGATGAGGGAAACCCCTGCTTCATCTCAGGGAGAAAAGAGATTTGGAGAGTGCTCTAACCATCAGGCTATGAAATATTCTGAACGGGAATCCTTAATCTTGCCTACTGAAGCTGTTACATGTGAACAAATATTGAAAGATTCATTGGAGCAGGAGGGCCAAATCCTAAGTCTCCCACATCCTCAATAAGTGTGCTACTCATCAGGCTACGGAGTCACTCATGCTTCCACTCTCTTGCCCAAATGTGTCTTGGAGTGAGTGAGAATGAGACCTCCCTCCCCCCCCACCCCCCACTCTCTCTCTTTCTCTTGTTATTTAAGGCAGCTTCATTGAGGTTTATCATACAGGCTCCCTGGCCAGAGCCAGCACAGCACGCAGTGAAAACCCACATGCTAATGATAAAAACTAAAAACAATCTCAGAAGTTATTGGTGAAACAGAAAAAAATTAATTAACCATTCAAAATATTCATTTCCAGGCATCTGAAATTGGCTAAGAAAATCCACTCTGGTTCCGTAGCTAAAGCACTCTCGTAGAGAATATCTTGACATTTGCCCTCCAACATCCTCCCAACTCATCTGACTCTCAGCAGTTTCCACTGTATCAGATCAGGTTTGTCACTGACTGCTGCAACCCAGTCCCACTGAGGCACACAATAGGCTATTAGAAGACCTGGGTTCCCTTTCCAGCTGTGCTGACTTCCTGCTTTGCCTTGGGTAAGGCACTTAGCAATGGCCACATTTAAACTACTACAGCGGTGCAGTGGCAGCATTGAAATCATGCTGCTGTAGTGCCTCAGTATAGACCAGTGTTTCTTAAACTGTGTTCTGCAGCACACCGGTGTGCCACGAAGCAGTCAGAGGTGTGCTGCGGAGAACAACAGAATTCAAAATGGCCAGACTTAAAGGGGTTTTTTTTTTTGCTCAATAACTTTCCTCCCTTGACCTTTATTTTGTTTGTTTTGCTCAATAAAAAATCCTTGGTGTTCCTCATAAAAAAAATATTGTTTGGTGTTCCTCGGTCTTAAAAAGTTTAAGAAAAACTAGTATAGACACCACCTTCACCAATGAGTAGGGTTCTTTCATCACTGTAGTTAATCCACCTCCCAAAAGGCAGCAGCTATATTGAAGGAAGAATTCTTCCACTGACATAGCACTGTCAGTCGTCATAGGAATGTCTCTCTCATCCATGAGCAACATAGCTATACCGATGTAGGTTCCCAGTGTACACCAGGTCTAAATTTTGCTGTTGCCTCAGTTTCCCACTTGTGAAATGGAAATACTAATCTTTCCCCACTTCATGGGGGAGTCGTGAAAATACACTCATTCATTAATGTTTATGAAGTGCACAGAGACTAAGGTGATGGCCATACAAGTAACTAAGGGTCCGGACTACAGAACATGGTTGGTCAATATAATGACCTGGCATTTTAATAACACTACCTTGCTGAATGACAAAGTCATGGTTGATGTAAATTAGGATACCACAGTTTCAGTGTAGACATTGCATTGCTTTTGTCAACTGTCATTAGCTTTCAGCAGACATTCCACAATGCCCCTCTCTGACAGTACAATCAATATTAGTGCTCCTGGTGAGGCTGCTCACTGTCGACACAGGGAGCCAAGAGTGCACGTGCACTTACAAGCAATTTAATAAATGTGGTGGCTGGATTTAAGTTGGATTGACATAATTTTGTAGTGTAGACATGGCCTATATACACTATCCACCAAGTCTTTAATTTGAGGCCTCCTCAGTAGGGTTAAAAGGTTACAGATTACACCACTCAGGATTTATTTACCATGGGGTTGAGAAAGTACGTGTGTGTCTATTTCAGTAAAGAGGTGTGGTTTTTTGTTTCGGGTTTTGGTTTGTTTGGGGGGGGGGGTTTGTTTTAAATGCATTTGTGCACCACTGTGGCCAATATTTGCACATGATAGAAGAGCAAATCCAAACCTTAATGATGTGGAGCTTTGGTAACAGGTTGCAATCTGCTAAGGTGAGCTCATCTCCATCCATGAATTTCCTGCTGGAAACAGTGACGTCTTCAGTGCTATAGGCATCAATTTCATCAGGCAAAGGGGTATTTAAATAGTTATCCAGCCGCCTTAGAGCCTTAAGCAAGGATTTTTCCAAATCTAGATTCACAAAAATAGAAATTGGAGAAAACTGAGTTCACTCTAAGAGCAGAAGAAACCCAGAAGATCAAATATTTCCAAACATTAAGCCCACTCGCACTGAGGTTCTCCCATGTCAGCTCCAATGCATACGAAAAACTCTCAGTCATATTCAAAAATCCACCCCTTATCCTAATTCAAATCCCTGTTGTGTCTGTGTACAGGGCTGGGAGTTCTGTTCTTTTCACCGGAGGGATGGGCTGAGGGAAAAGGAGCAGAATGCTAGCAACTTCTCCGGTTGTTGCAGCACTTCCAGTCCTGCCCTGTACACGAAAGCCAGTGGAGGGGCCGCAGCTGGCCAGCAGGGAGTCTTTCCAGTACATCATACCAGCTAAAAATATCTTTCTGGTATCAGCCTGGCCTAGCCCACTGGATGAAACAGAAACAGAGCTCTTTGGGACACAGAACTCACTACAGAGAGATTTGTAAATTTCGAGCAAGAAAACTGTCCACTGTTGTTGGTTGTGTCTGTTGTATTTAGGGAAACTGTACATTTTTTGTAAATAAACAGAATTGAACCCAGAAATACCTTGTTCCTATCGCCCATTTTCCCTCCTAACAGAAACAATCCAGCAAGACCCTGAACAGTGGCTAACAGCTCAGAACAACAGAGAGATGCTAGTGGACACCTTCATAGTGTGTGCGCCCTGAAGGATGGGTGGTGGGCTTTTTACCACATGGCATAAGTAGGGTGGTGTTGAGGGAGGGTTGAGCCACTGAATACTTGCTCACATGGATTCAGTGGCTGGATAAGGGGCGCTCCGCACATTACTGATGTGGCATGGCAGCCCCTAGGCATGGTGGTAAGCTGAGAAAGGTGAATTCCAATCCTTGCTTGGTTCCTAATGAAAGCTTACTTATTTCAACTTTGTGAAGAGGTAGGGAAGAGGAGGGGATTTTACCCACAGTGAATTTAGATGGCTTGTCCAGAGATTGAGGCATTTCTGTCAAATTCTCATGTACCTCTAGATAGGGAAACCATTCAGAGAAATATGTATCAAAATTCCATAGTCTTAGAATACATTTTAATGATTTGATTTTAAAAAATTGCATTAGCATAAAAATGCCCACATTTTGGAGCTAGTCCAATTGCTTCAGAGACATCCTAGAAAAGTCATTACTACACAAGTACAGGAGCGGCCCTAGATGAGCTGCCGGCAACTGGTGCCCTAGGCGAAACGCGCTATCGGCGCCCCCGCCTCCAAAGTCCTCAACAGCCATTTATCTTGGCACCCTAGGCAAGTGCCTAGTTCACCTGTATTGACGGGCCGCCACTGCACAAGTAGTACTATTCCAAATTAATTCTTTTAGCTATTTCAATTTCACTCTCTGGAAAAAAAACTGTTAGACTCTACTATACAATTATATTACTTAGTATGTTCACTTCATTAACTTTATAACACTTCTTTTAAAATTGAAAAAAAGCATTTTGCTTTTTTGTATTCTATTTGTAGGTATGATCCTGCAAATTCTTGTGGACATAAGTAGTTTTATTGAAGTCGATGAAACTACTCATCCTCAACAAGATAAGCATTTGCAGGCTCAGCACCTTCAATATTGTTCAGTCAAGCTACTGTGATACGGGGCATTTTGTTGACTAAACAACAAATTACTAACTCTTCCTTTCATCACAGTGCATATGTGTGGGCCTCTCTCTTGAACAGTTTACCCTCCTCTAGAATCAGCAGCCTTCCAGAGCTTCCATATTCTGGAAAGCCATAGATAGCTTTTGCTTAGAATGAGTCTTTAGTGCAAATACAAACAGATTTTGTTACTCTAGATTGAACATTAGTGAAAAACACAAAGCTTTATCCTGTAATTATGTAACTCCAACTCATTCCAGTTATCAGCAGTAATGATGCAGACATTACAGGTAGTTACTTTCATTAGCATCTTTTCTTGTGTTCTTTATGAAAGCAGAGAATCTTGCAAACACATCATTTCCTGCAGAATTAGATTCAGGGTGCTTTGGCCCAAGTTTGGGGTACCTGAGGAATTAAAAATACAAAGATGTCATTCAACTAGTAGCTTCTTTTATGTCATTCAGCTGCTTCTGAATTGTATGTAGTAAAGATGTTAAGAAGCAGGTAATTAGCTAATCGTGTAGTCGATATAATTTGTGTCGACTACACAATTAGTCAATAAGGGGAGGTGTTCTGTCCCAGCTCAGCCACATCGAAGAGCTACCCTGGCTGCAGCTCTGCAGTTTAAAGGTAGTAGGACCTAGAAGTGCAGGCAGCCCAGCTCCTAACACATTTAAACTGCAGAGCTGCAGCAGGGGTAGGTTATGGACCCAGCGCAAGCTGGGATTGGGACCGCTGTGCCTCTGCATTTTAAATGTAGTAAGAGCCACCTGGCTCTCGCTACGTTTATACTGCAGTGCTGCAGCAAGTGTAGGTATCAGAGGCAGCAAGAGAGGGAAGTGAGTAGTCAAGTGGTCAACTCGACTAGTCATTTACATCCCTAGTATGAATAGCACTTTACTCCAAGGCATTGCAAACAAAGTGTGGCTATATATTTTTCGTAGGCAACATTCCTAAAAAGGAAACAGAACATACAAAATAAACACCATGTCAAATATTTTTCATTACTCCTAGTATTCAGAAGTTAAATTCTCTACTTCTTGCCATAACTACTGATCAATTTTCATGATTTTATAATTTGAAGAAAATGAGAGAAATCTCAAAGCACAAATATAGAAAAATACTAGGTTATTATAATGGTGTGGCTGCCCTTGTATTGTTTGAGCCCTCTGCAATAGTGCAAATTTCACTCTGAGACAGGGTGGGATCTGGTCCGCCAAATTAGCTCCTGGCTGGCCCCCCCCCCCGGTACCGGCGATCGCAGCTTCCATTGGGCATGGTAAGAATGTTAAATTGCATTTAACTAAGTAATCACATAACCACTGAAAATTTCAATGATTACATGGTTACATGTGGGCGGCAGTTGGTTCCCTGGGAGCCAGTGCTAATGGGGATCAAGCTTTTAAGCTGACTCCCAGCGTCTACCGGGAGCCTGCATGTAACTGTGAACGTTAACTGTGTACACAGTTACACTTTCACATCCCTAGCTGTGGATCGTTGTTCGTGGCCAAATGAAGCTGCGGGAAGTGGTGTCCTAGTCCATCCTGCTGCTCCTATTGGCTGGGCACGGCAATCCACAGCCAAGGGGAGCCACAATCACTGGTACCTGCAGCTATGCAGGTAAATATAGTGGCAGCAGCCTGCCAGGGGCTAACCCTGGCAAACTGTCGCAGTGTTACTTTCCACCCCTGCTTTGAGAATAATTGTAACAATGTCAGCAGTATTGCCATCTTCAAGAGATCAAAAATCGTGAGTTTGACCTTCAAAAATCATTTTTTAAAAAAGGATGATATTGTATGTTTTTAGGTTAGTCTCTTGATTTTTGAACTCCCTTTGCCCATTGCTAGGGTGTGGCATGCAACAATTAATGTTGCACACTCTCCCATAAGCACTGGGGACAGTGATTTTGGCCCCTGTTGCAGAAGCTCTCACCTCCACATCTGCCCATCTTCTCCCAGCAACTTATCCTGTCTCCCATCTGTTCTGTGACCACCCGATCCCCCTCAGTTCAGCCCCCCTCAGTTCATTTCTTTAGCCCCATCATCAGCCCCTCAGTCCGTCCCCCTATCCCACTGACCTCCACTGTCCTCAGTTCAATTTCCCAGCGTTCACCCCATCTACTTAGGACCCATCACCAATATACCCCTCCATCCAATCAAACACATACACACACCCCTCACGTGAGCCCTCTCTGAAGCCTCCAGGCCATATTTCAGCCCTCACAGTCTCTTAGGGTTCTTCTCCTTCCAAGGCATAGGGGGGCTACAGAGGGGTCCCTCTGCCACTTCCCAGGCTGGCAGCTGGAGTCCCAGCCACTACAGCAATTTCTAAGCAAAATTAACCCTGACTCATGATCTGGGGATCAAGCTCCCAAATGCCAGGGTTCTATCAAGAGATCAAGAGCCAGAGTTAATACTGCTTAGAAATGGTGTCTCTCACTATAAGTTGGCATGTCTGCATCATAACAAACCTGCAGGATATCATCAGTTGAGTAATGCCATATAAGCCAGCTCCTATTGACTGAAATCAGCACAGGAGTCTTTTAATTGATGTCAACAAATGTTGGCTCAGGCCCTTTACTCTCTCTAGGGTGGTGCTATTTTTGCCAACTCTTTGAAAAGAAAATTTTCATACCTGAAATTGCAGACAGTTACTGTGCGTTAGACAATGCAAATTAGTAGTTAATCTCCATTGTTTGGATTGTAAAGCCTAATAATTTCTGATGACTGACCTTAACTAAGAGCACATACAGAGAGCACATAATGCACCTGTGCTAACTGACACCAGCTGAAGATCTTGCCTAGCATAACTTATGCTAGAAGAGCAGATTTAAATACAGACTTTCAATAGTGAAAATATTTATTTAATTTCTCTAGTCCAGCACCCTTGGTACCTGACTGATGCCAAACTAAAGAATTTGTTGGACCACAGGAGATCAATATTGTCTAGGTATTACCAACACTTCCACTGCTTACGGGGCTCTTAGAAGACATTGAGTAGTAAATTAGAGCTAAATAACAGCACAGAGCCAGAGCTGGTGGCTTTAAACAAACTTGAAGAGTCTGCGGAAAACTTGGGCACTTTAAGGATGTTAAGGAGTGGGTATTTGACTAATCATGTAGTTGATACAATCTGTATCGACTACACAACTAGTCGATAAGGGGAGACACTCTGCAGAGCTGTAGTAGGGGTAGCTCTTGGAGCCAGTGCAAGCCGGGACTGAGCAGTCCTGGCTCGCGCTAGCCCTGGGACCACAGCGGCTCTGCATTTTAAATGTAGAAAGAGTCCGGTGGCTTATACTACATTTAAAATGCGGAACTGTAGCATGGGTGGCTGGAGCTGGCACGAGCCGGGACTGAGCAGTCCCAGCTTGTGTCAGAACTACTGTGGATCTGCCTCTCCTACCCCCTACGCATCGTGGTGACAGTGCTGGGGGGAACCAGATTTTAAGCCAACTCCTCCCAGCACCAGCTCCTGCTTCTCCCCTCCTTGCTTCCTCTGATACAGAGTAAGGATGTTAAATTGCAGTTAAAGGACTAGTTGAGTAGTCAATGGAATTTCCATCAACTACTCAACTAGTCGATAGCACTTCCACATTCCTCCTTTGAAATATACAAGAGTCCCCAGTGGGGGCTCTTGTGCATTTCACAGCACCCTTGTGGAGCCTGGGCTCAGCAGGGGACTCCCCAGCTGATCCTGGGTTCCATGGAAATGCTGCACAGAGCCCAGGATCAGTTGGGGAAGCCCCAGCTGACCCCAGGCTTCATGGCACTGTCCCTTTGAAACTCCCAGGCAGCGTTTAAAAGGGGCAGCCGCCATGCACCTGAGCTAGGAATCAGCTGTGCAGCGGCTGCCCCTTTGAAATGCCACCTTGGGGTTTCAAAACAGCACCCTCACACAGATGATACCCGGCTCAGCTGTGTGGCACTGCCACTTTGAAGTACCCCTTCTCTCTCCCCCCCCCCGCTTTGCTGCCTCTATCTGATACAGGCAGCAAGGGGGGGGGGGGGGGAAATCGACTAGTCGACTGACTATCCGATCAGCATTTGCTTATCGGATAATCAACAAGTCAACTAGTCCTTAACATCCTTAATACAGAGGCAGCAGGGTGGGGGGAGCAAGTAATCGAGTAGTGACTCGACTACCCAATAAGCCTAGGCTTATTGGGAAGTCAACTACTCAAGTAGTCACTTACATCCCTAGGCCACACTCATGAGATGTGGACATCTGGCTAACTAAAATCATGCAGGACCACGGACATTGCCGGACTAGAGAGGGTCAACCTGTAATTGTGTCGAAACTTGTGAAGTACTGAGCATGGTTAATTCCTATTTACTTCAGTCACTGGAGTCAAGAAATCTGCACTTAACACTTGTGAGTTCACAGAAACATTATCATTATGCTAAGTCTCACTTCTGCTTCCACTGGAATCACCAGCAACACTCATTGTGTTCAATCAGAGCAGAATCAGACCCTAATATATTTCACACATATTTTAAGGCATGAAAGAAACCAAAAACCTGCTCCTGCTCCCACCGAAATCAGTGGAAATTTTGTCAGTAAGTGCACTGAAGGCAGCATGAAGGACTAAAAGCAGAATATGACACTCAAAAGCACAATACCTTGGTGATGCTAATTTTTCTTCTAAGAACTCCTCAATCTTATTGACATCAGTTTTCACTTCACCATCAAAAGTCATAAAAGGAGGGTTTGTTCCTGGGGCTAGATTCTGCAGGTCTGCAGGTTTTCTAAAAGAGTGTAAACACTTTGGGTAAGCAACTATATGAGATACATTTTCAATTCCTATATTTAATAGCAGTAATCTGCTCTGCCATCATAACAATGTACTGATATTATTTAAAGCAAATAAAATTAAATTATTGTTGCAGTTACTAAGGATTTTAAAGGGTTAATCCATAAACATGCTTGTAGTTAAGCAGCCATTGACAGTGAACCTGGGAGTGGCCAGCCATGCTGTGCCAGAACAGTCTGAGCCGCAGAGTGCTGGCAGGCCAGGAGATGGGACCCCCTACCAATGAAAGGATCCCATTGCCACAGTTAGGCAGCTCATGGCCACAGCTGGCAGGCAGCAGGACCCAAGTTAAAATAATAATTGGTTTAAGTGTTGTCAATCAACCAGTTAACTGTTTTAACATCCCTAGCAATTATTGTGTAGCCTTGGACAAAATCACTTCCTTTTTTCTGTCTTGGTTTATCTCTCTGTAAAGGTAAGATTTACCCGCATACCTCATAGAGATGTTGAACATTTAATAGTATTGATTGATTGATTAATTAATTAATCTCTACCATGCATTCACCATATAGAATCTTATTTTACACCATGTTAACTCCACTGACTTCAATGGAATTATTCCTGATTTACATCTATTTAAATCAGGGAAAAATCAGGCCCATAAAGAGCTATGAAAACACCAATAACAGCATAAATAATGCCTGACTGCATGTGTATTTCAAATTTATGCAATTCATTCTTTAAAATAATCATTTAGATAATATTGTTCTGAAAATACTACTCTGGGTTCGGTGCCAAAAAATTAAAAACGTTGCAATTTTTTTTGTCAAAATAACCCTACATAATCACATCAGTTTCAATTATTTTGTAATTCATTTCAAAATACCTGCCAGAACGTATGTTTGTAGGAATACAGGCACAAAAAATTTCCCTCAAGAGTAGTCACAACCCTATGACAACTAGTTCCTGTTTCTTTGTCCTCTCCCCGGCCCCCGCAGCCCAGTTGGGGATGAGTGCAGGTACCTGCATCTCCTCCCACATCCTAGACTAGGGGTGGGCAAAAGGGCCTCCGTGGGCGGATCCAGCCTACCAAGTGGGTGGATCCAGCCAGCAGAGGCCCTGCTGCTCCCCCGCCCCTAGGCCAATCAGGGCCTAGGGGCAGGGGAGCACTTCTCCCGTCCTGCCAGGAGCATGCAGCGCTTTGAAGCACCGTGTGCTGCTCGCAGGGTAGGGGCAGAGCTGAGAAGGCTTCATGCACTCCCCCGCCCCCAGGCCATAATTGGCCTAGGGGCGGGGTAGCGCGCCAAGCCTCCTCCTGCCCTGCCAGGACCACGTAGTGCTTTGAGGAGCTGCGCGCTGCTCGCAGGGCGAGGGCAGAATGGAGGACTCTTCATGTGCTCCCCCATCCACAGGCCCTATTTGGCCTAGGGGTAGGAGAGCGCAGGAAGTTTCCTCCCATGGCAGGGGCATGGGCACCTAAGGAGAATGTGGGGGGGAGGGGGAGCAAAGGCACTCCCTTATCCTCAGACCAATCATTGTCTGGGGGTGGGGAACCCGGAAGTATCTTGGCCTCGCCCCTTCCGCTTGATGTAGCGCCCCTTCCTGTGTGGCCTGGGGCCACTTCAAAACTTTCCAAAGTGGCCTCAGGCAAAAAAATTATTGCCTACCCCTGCCCTAGAGCCTAGGGCTCCAGTGGGAGAAACAGCCAGTCCCAGGCTGGCATGGAATTTCCCATGTGCCATGCTCTCTGTCCTTCAGGGCATACTGGATGCCACAAATCCTCTAGCTCCCTCCCCCGAGCAGTGTTTTCTGTGTGTGTGCTGGGCTCTGCCAGGCCTAGCAACCCTATAACCAGCAGCACTGCAGCCCATTTCTGTGGAGGAAAGGAAATTCTATGCAACCGATGTCGATTTCTGCAAAATTCTGCATTGTGCAATAGCACAGAATTCCCCTTGGACTAAAATGAAAATATATATTGTAATCTTACCTTTTCAAGTCTACAGTTGTTACATTAAATATAACACCTTTTAGCCACAGAATCATAAAGAGGCGCTGAGAAAATGGGCAATTTCCAATGTTTTCCCCATCACTACCAGCCTACAATAAAAAACAATAATATATGTTTTTAGCTAAACTATTTTTAGTAAGTCAAAGTCAGTCAGATGTCTGTTTAAAGAATATGGACAAAATTAGGGCCGAGTAAAGTCAGGAAGAGGCGGGGTGGTGGCAGGGCTGGAGGTGGAGCTGGGGTCAAGCACACCTCAGCAACCCCGAAAGGCAGGGCCTATGAAAGTTTGTGTAAACTGGTGCAACTTATTTTAATATAATGATATAGTTTTCTGCAATGATTCTTTACACCCTCCTCCAAACACTCTAAGCCCTCCTAAACAGTAAGAGCTAGGTCCACCAAATTTATTATGTAGCTTCCTCTTATCATAACTTAAAGCAAGGTCAAGGGTTTGGTTGTGCCAGGAAAACATGATGTGCCTAGAATGGGATTGCTTCTCAGAAAACCATACAGAAAAAAGAGAATCACCAAATCAAGTACCGTCCTCAAAACTGACATAACTCAGCGAATGCTTAAAGTGGGCTCTGGGCAGGTAGGGGCTTATGGCAGGGGTGCAGAGGGGGCGCTCTGCTGCAGGAGCTCTGTTATTGGACAGAAGGGGCCTGTGTGGCCCCCCAGCTGAGGCAGCTCTGTGCTGAGGCTGTGGGAGCAGCTGCCTCATCCACTCCCCTGGTCATGGTAGTTCCGTGCTGTGGCTAAAGAAGGACGCGCTTCCCCCACTCTCCCCCCAGCCACGGCATCCAACCTGGAGCTGCCCCAGAGCTGCTGCTTCCAGAGAACAGGTGACCCTTCTGTGGCTCTCACAGAGCCTTACCTGGACCTGCTCCAGCCAGGGGACATGCCCCTCTTCCTGTGCCTGCTAAAACTGCAGTGGCCATGGCCAGGCTCTTCTCATGTGGCCCCAAGCTAATGTGGTGAGAGAGGCCTGGGGGTTGTCGTCTCTCCCTGGGGCAACCTGCACACTGAACCCCTCATCCCAAACCCCACCCCAGAGCAATGAGATTTAAATGAAATGTAACCACCACGAAGGCAGATTTGAACCTGGGACTTCAGGAGCTGACTATAGGGAGCCTCTACCCTCTGAGCTAAAAGCCAGCTGGCTCCCAGCCCATGCTGTAGAGGTCTCTTGATCTTAACTGACGCTGTGGTCTAGGTACCACTTGCATTGCTCAGTAACCACGCTAGGTGTGTGGGTTACATACTTCCCCTCGGTGAGGGAGCAGGTCCCGAGCTTCAGAGACCTAGTTGAGATCCCGGACGAGCCCCCACTTGTCACATGTGGATTTGAACCTGGAACCTCAGGAGCTGACTCTAGAAGCCTCTACCCTCTGAGCTAAAAGCCAGCTGGCTCCCAGCCCATGCTGTAGAGGTCTCTTGATCCTAACTGTTGCAGTGGTCTAGGTGCCACTTGCAGTACTAAGTAACCACACCATGGCTACGTCTACATTGGCCACAATTTCCGGAAAAGCCATGCAAATCAGGTAAGTCAAAGTAGGAATAAGAGATCCTCCGGAAAAGGGCTTTATTCCGGAGGATCACGCCAGTCTAGACGCTTTTTTTCCGGCTTTTGCGTGATCCTCCGGAATAAAGCCCTTTTCCGGAGGATCTCTTATTCCTACTTTGACTTACCTGATTTGCATGGCTTTTCCGGAAATTGTAGCCAGTGTAGACGTAGCCTAGGTGTGTGGGTTACAGAAGCATGTACATTTTCATTTTATTTTCCAAAAATTATTTGAGTTAAGGACCTGAGAAAAGCCAGGTAAATCTTCCAGTGTTTTTACAGACTAGTAAACAAAACTCAAATCATAGCAGTACTTTAAAACAAAGATTCCATATTAACAAATGTTTTAAAGGGTACACCTAGACAGCGGTGCTATTTCAGGATACGTCCGGTATCCTGAAATAGCGTTATCAGCATCTTAACAGCACGCCCGTTATTTCAAAATGCGATCGAAATAATAGGCTTGCTGTTCTGATGCCTCAGCAAACCTCATTCCACGGGGATTAAGGGACTTGTCGGAATAGCCGTCTATTTCGAAATATGGCACTGTTTTGAAATAGACTCTCAAAATAAGCTATGCAATTTGCATAGCTAAAATTGCTTACTTATTTCAAGTTAGCACCACTGTAGACACACTTAATAATTACACGTATTTTTGATATGTTATAACTCCTGGAAATACCAGTACGAAAAGATATAGCAAAATATATTACATCATAAATTGAGATGTAATGCCAAGAGCAGTTAAGAGGCTAGATCAAAGAAATCTCTCATGTATCCTGTGCTTTCAATGCTCATGACAATCACAGAGTAGTGCAGACTCTCATCTCTGATAGAAGCACGTACACAGTAAAGAGGGTCATGCAGGTTCATGGTATATTTTTTAAAGGCACAAAAATGTGGAGATACAGATCATATGGGAGGGAGAAAGCTGCATGTTGAGAAGTGAGCCCGTGCTCCAAATCACCTCTATGCAATTTGTTTCTGCCCCAATATTCACTGCAAAAACTTCCCAAAGACAGTGGGCTACATGGTGGTGAATTTCACATGGGGATGCAAATAGGGTTGCCAGGTGTCCGGTTTTGAACTGGACAGTCCAGTATTTTAGCTTTCTGTTCAGGAAACAAATAGAGAAAATGTAAATGTCCGGTATTTTCTAAATAAGATGTGATGTAGATTGTGATGTAATGTCAAGTGTCCCCGATATTTTTGTTGAAACCATCTGGCAACCCTAGATACATACCCATAGTACACAGCCCTGTGCATCATCACATGCACTCCGGGCAGGTGAGTATGAACCGTGCCAATACATGAAGCCACGTATGTGCACACAAAAGAAATATATTATTTACAGCAGCTTTATACCAACGCAATGTGCATTGGCAAAAATCTGTAATGTAGATATGTCCTCTTTCCTTTATACAACTTGGGCCTTGGATCTTCAAATTCAGGGAACAGATAACCTTCAGGAACAGCTTCTAAAGCCTCTCTTTTTGTTGTTGTTATATAACTAGAGGGAGTTAAATTTTCATTCACCTACTGCTAGGGATACCCTATTAATTCTGTTTGGCCCCAAAAGTCCATTCTTGTCTGGCCCATTGTTCACATAATGCTTTGCAGCTCATCACACTACCGAAGATTTACATTGGCTACCTCTCCTCCCTAGAGAAATTAAGTACAGGCCCACAATGTATATATTTTAGAAGTGTGCATGTCTGTATGTACATCTGTGAATCTGCTTATTCAAGAACTCCTCCTAAACAGTAAGAGCTAGGATCACCAAATTTGGTAGGCAGCTTCCTCTTATCTTAACTTAAAGCAAGGTCATAGTTTGGTTGTGCCAGGAAAATGGGATGTCCCACTCCCTACAATGGTATTGTTTTCCATGTCATAGAAAGAGAAGAGGCTGCTAGGGGGGACAGTCATAGGGTAAAGTGACCACAGAGGGATGAAGCCCTACAGCAGACCTAGGTACACAAGTGCACAGGACTGCATAGGGACACCGAAATATGCAGCACAGCCTCCACAACCCCTGCCGGCACCAGAGAGCCACTGCAAGATAACCAGCATGGCCCTCGCCGTGGCCACCCTGGGGAGCTGCCCCTGGCAAAGCAGCATGGCTCCAGGTGCCCAGAGAGCCCCCACTGGTATCCTGGTAGTGACGCCTTTACTGTGGCAGGCTCATCACCGCCCAGACAGTGCTTCCCCCTCTGCTACAGTTGTCCCCCGTGAGCCCTCCACACCTTCCAGGCCGCTGATCTGAGTCCCTTCTCATATCCTGTCACTCCTGCACGACCCCAACCTCAGCCAGGCCTGGGGAGAACCTGGTGTGCGGGCCATGCGGCCTCCACCACCCGCAGATCTGGGCAACACCTGGTAAATCTTCCAGTAATACATAAACTTTGCATTTTTAATACAATAGATTCAAAAATGTTTAGACTCAATTTTTGAAGATTTTTCAAGGAAATGACAGGACATTGCCATATCTATCATATCAAGGTTTTACAAAAACAAGACACTGGCACACCTAACTTCTATATGAGGTTATGCTTCCTTGCTAGGATGCATCAGCATTAATTAAAGCTATTATCAAGCCGATAAACAATAGGGGTGTCAGGTGCCTGGTTTTGAACTGGACAGTCCTGTATTTGAGCTTTCTGTTCAGGAAACAAACTGAGAAAATATAAATGAGAAAATATAAATGTCCGGTATTTTCTAAATAAGATGTAATGTAGATTGTGATGTCATGTAAGGTGACCATCCGTCCTCCTTTGAGGACAGTCCTCCTTTTGAGGGGCTTGTCCTCCCCAATAATTATGTCCTCCTTTTGTCCTCCTTTGAAAAAAATTGTCCTACTTGTTCTACTTTGCCAAAATATATATATATATATATATATATATTTTGGCAAAGTAGAACAAGTAGGACAATTTTTTTCAAAGGAGGACAAAAGGAGGACATAATTATTGGGGAGGACAAGCCCCTCAAAAGGAGGACTGTCCTCAAAGGAGGACGGATGGTCTTGTCAATGTGATTTTTTTAGCTGACACGATTAACCCTAAAAATGTCGAAGAAAAGAAAATGCCATTTCAATGAGAATTTTAAAAAGGAATTTCCTTTCATCAGAATTGTGGATGAAACAAGAGATGATTCATTAGTGAAATGTACTGTCTGTTCCATGGAATTCAGTGTGGCAGTAGGTGGCCGATACAGCATAATGAAGCATGTTTCATCAAACAAACATCAAAATTCTTTAACATCGGCATCAATGTCCCAGAAAGTTACAGACTTCTTAGGAAGTACATCATTTGGAGAAGACAAAAAGAATTTAGCAGCTGCTGAAGGTCTGACTGCGTAACACACTGTGATGCACAATCAAAGTTTTCGGAGTATGGACTGTACATCAAAACTGAATAGAATACTTTATAATAAAAAATTCCATTGTGCCAGAACTAAAGCATAGGCTATTATTTGCAACGTTTTTCAAACTTACGCACAAGAGAATTTGAAGAAAGATTTAGAAGAAGCTAA